TCAAGACGATACAGCTGATTTACATGGTGTATCTCAACCAGTTGTCAGCAAATCTTGCAAAATCTCGTGTGTGCGCTACCCACAGTTTGGCAATGATGTCTAGACGATTCATCAAAATGCCTAGCAGTCTCGATGCACAACAGCAAACTATGAGAAAATTTCGTAGTATTGCTAATTTTCCTACAGTGATTGGAGCAATAGACTGTACTCATATAAGAGTGAAGAAAATCAATGCTGATGGGGGTCAGTTGTACATTAATCGAAAAGGCTTTTCTTCAATCAATGTACAGGTAATTTTATCTGTCTCATTAAATTGTAAATAGTTAGATCCCAAACTGCTTCACTAAATATTACAATGTCATATTAAAATAACAGAGGAATGTGAAGTTATTATCAGCTTTCACTTTTCAGGTGGTTTGTGATGCTGACCTGAAAATCATGGACATAGTAACAAGATGGCGTGGCAGTGTACATGACTCCAGGATATTCAGAGAATGTCGCTTAAAACAGAGGTTTGAGGCTGGCGCATTCTCTGGAATATTATTGGGCGACAGTGGCTATCCTTGCACTCCATATTTATTTACACCATTGCTCAATCCCACAACACCACAAGAAGAGAGGTACAACCGCAGCCATATCCGTACCCGAAACACAGTGGAAAGGTGTTTTGGTTTGCTGAAGCAACGATTTCGTTGCCTTTTGCGAGGCATGTTTGGGGATATTGAAACAGCACAAAAAACAATTGTTGCATGTGCTGTCCTCCACAATATTGCAATTGATATGAGAGAAGACCTATTTCCGGGCGAGGAAGATAATATAGAGCCATCAATTCAATTTGCACCTAGTGAAACAGTTCAACAAGGATATTTTCCATCTTCTGTTAGGGGAAATATTAGGAGAAGGCAGTTTATTGAAACTCATTTCGAATAAATATTATTTATTGTAATCTTGTTTTATTTTCTAACAAACCTATCTCTAGCTTTAGTTTTTTAATTTTTAATTTGGCGATTTCTACATTGTATGCATGTTCTTCTTCCATCATTTCTAATTGTCTTTTTTTAAAAGCAGCATTGCTTTCGACAATTGTTTGCCGCATTTCGTCAGTTCTGTAAAATTAAACAGAATAATAAAGTCATTTTAATTTGACAGGTAATAAAAATATGTATAAAAAAGGAAAATGTAGTATCCAAGAAAATGTTTCTCCATTTTTTACCAAGGTATTTGTTTCCATGCTGAATTTTATCAGTGTCTGCGTAGGAAATAGTAGGTACATATGTACATACCTATTTTGCAAGCTCTTTTTCTTTTTAATTGTTGCTTGTTCTTCAACGCAAGCGTCACTGTTGTTTGTATCTGTAGAAAGAATAGTTTAAGAAAATAAAATATGAATAAAAAAAAATGAGTTTTTACACAATATGATGGTTTTGAATATGATGCGCTTGACGCACTGACGCACTGACGGAAAGCGACAATAATGTAGTATGGTTGATAATTATTGTGTTGTAATTATATTACACTAGTTTTAAGAGCAAAATAACGTTAAGATTAATAAGAATAAATAAGATTATCCCACAGTTGTATATAAAATTATGCCATATAAACATATAGCATAATTCTATTGTTTTGTTAATTTTGCGTAGATGAAGTGCTAATTCTATTAATTCTCTTGAACACAATAATTGTTTACCTTGCAAACAGACAAAATCCTTTTCTGGTCTATCTTCGCATGTTTCAATATGAAACGATACCGTTTCAAAACTAGGACCGGGTTTTGAGTCTATCCCAGCCGCATTAATGGTAGGCACGGGAACTGGATCCTAAAAAATATATTTACTTAATATGTTTTCACGCTCACTACTGTTTTTGAAATTTGAGTGCTGTAACGTTACTTGTAAAAAAAAAACAAAAATCATTTATTTCAATTAGACCACAGGGCACGTTGAACGTCAAGCAAGCAAAAAAAGTATATAACAAGAGCTTTAAAAGAGACACTTTTTAAGAGCTGTAGAAGAAATTTGAGCATGTGATAAGCTAGTAGTCTAGTGATTGAATATATCACATTAACATTTTAGTTTACTGTGTTTAATTAATCAATAAATTAATTAAATGTTTTCTATTCAATATAATACATTTTATTTACCAATGCATCACTATCATATTCATTGACTTCAATGACGAAGTCGTGAGGAGCAATTGCCATAACGGCTAAGTCCTCTGGAGAAGGTGATGGCGGTTTTTCACCGCCGCCTGTTAAATGTTGTTCCCTTCTATGCATGGAAAGGTTGGATTTAGCGGACAACTTCATTCTTTTCCATGCCAACTTCAGCTCTCCGCCCGAACGAAATTTACCAGTTAATTCATTAAACCTGAAATTAAAATATAAACTAATTAGTATCATTTAAACAATGACTACCATGCCCGGGAATTTTCTCTTATAATATGACAATCAAAAAGCTTTTGAAGGGCCTTACACCCGCCTTTAAAAGTCGGGTGAAAGTTCGGTGTAAGTAGTATCGGGTCAATATAGTTAGTGTAGACGCAAAGAACCGGTCATTGTGGCGACTTGGGGGAGGTCTATGTCCAGATTGCACGTCTTTCGGCTGAAATGACGATAATGACGAAACAATAGCATACTTGTACTTACGATACGTAACAAATTAAAGCAGAAGGCACTTACTTAACCTGTATATTCTTCCACTCTTTTATTTTTTGTGAGTTCACCGAAGATTTTGTGGACTTATCTTCTAATATCTGTGCTGATTGAGCAATCAATTGACGTAAGATCTCCTATAATAATAAGAACATTGGTTTAAGGTAATCAAGTAATATTACTAACTTATGTAGGTACATACAGATATTATTTTACTAACTTTTTCGTCACAACTCCAGTTTTCTCCTCTTTTTCTCTTTTGTTGTTCCATGTCTCACTAAATATGGAATTGCGTTTAAAATGTTAGCAATGTGTTGTATTCGCGTCTAAGTTTCAAATTGAGGCGCGCTGTCATCGTTTGTAATTCGCTCCATTTCACGGTAGCAGTGTTAAAAATACGACAACATATTTATAAACATCGCGTTTAAAGTACAAGTTGCACGTGTTTAATATATAATCCAACTTATTAAAATAACAGTTTATGATGCATTTTAGTATTAATAAATAATTATTTTAGAATTTCTAGGGTTAATTTATTATCAATACTAAAACAAACGGAACGTTGCTTCAAATTAAAAACCTATGAACGAATGAAAGAGTGACATTTTCTTTTTTATCTGTGGATATTATTTAAACCATGAACTTTCTTCGGTACTAACTGATCCTCGATTAGTCTTAGTTTTGTAATAAGAACACATTTTAAACCTAGTACTAACTTTAGTACTGGTTTAGTCCAAGACTAGTTAGTCTTGGTTTAAACCAGTACTAAAGCATTTTTTTGTAATAAGACGGTTTCTGACTAAAAACCCCCAGTTCTTTCTCCCGCTCTGGGCCGAGGCCGCGGTGCCCCATTGCGCTTGCCTGCCTCTCACCTGCTTGAACTGTATTGAAATTTTTTTCTGTTAATTTGAGTTTTTTACTTACTCATTTAGTATTTTTTACCGCATCTAAGTTGAATTAGGCGATGCTAGTGTTTAGTGCATAAACGGAAGTTCTCAATTGGGGCTGGTCAGATTTAATCAATAGATACCTATTTGTTCTTAAAGCTTATTTTTATCATATATTGTTTTTCTATATAGGTAATTATTAACTTTCAAGATATAATCCATACTTAGCATTTAATCTGTTTAACAATGTAACCCATGATTTTTAAACTAATTGAAAAATAGTACCTAACCATATTGTTTCTTGCAAGGCCTTCTCCGTTGCAATCAGTGCGTGATTGGAATCAAACAGACCTTATGTAGTTTTTTTACTAAAGTGCCTTTTTGGTGTTTTCGGACTTGACTTTGTCAAACGATCACGCATGCATTGCATGATGGAGTGACTTTTGACGGTCAGAGGACACTGGAATTGTCAATCATACCATCAGCGCTATCATCGTGAGAAGGAAGATGACGTTGGTCGGTAAACTAATGATTATTTTCACGGACAGGGGGAGCACATCTTCTGGTTGGTTCTGTTGTAATCGTAAATTCAGTATACTCAGGATTGAGCTCTATTTGCATGCCACTGCAGGTGCTAATGACGATTCTCATGCTAGGCAAATTATACGAAAGATTTCTGAGGCAAATATTTACAAATAAAAAGTTAGTTTTTAATCTTGTCTAAACAAAAGTTTTTCAATTATTGGGAACTATAATTGGTCCTAGGATGATGCCTTGCAGAACACCCGTGGTACACATTAAAAAGCGCATTCCGTTTCTTCTTACTTATTTCTGCAGCTTGCCAAGCTTGCAAAAATATTTTTACTTTTGAAATAAGTACATTTAAATTGTTAAAATTTAAACAATAAAACGGCGGCTAAACCTTTTAATTAGTTCAATTAATTACCTAAACATAAAAAATTGTCGTGCAAGGTAATGACTGTACTGCCGTGGTAATTCAAGTTTTAAGTTCAGTTTCCTGACATTTTTGATAAACTGTGATAAAGAAGCGTCTGTCAGTCGCGTGATGGATGAAAAGTCCAACGACTCTGATAACCACATTACCTATAAAACACATTAATTAGTCCTAATTTTGATATTTACAAGATCTAGAATTACTAATCAAGGATTAATCGAGATGGTGTGGTTGGATGTTTCCATTGACCATTGCACTGCATGACCAATGCACTTGAGTTTCATGCCGTTACTGTTAATAGTTGTACAGTCATTTCTGCAATACAGCTCCTCATTGTTCTCTCTAAAATCTTCCCTTAACATGTGCATCTCGTACTATCAATGGTGTATGCAGTGTACAATAATTTAATTGTTGTTCAACCAGAAAAGTACAGCATGCCAAAATACTCCCTCCCCGCCGCGGCGCGGGCCGAACGCGGCCGAACAAGAATCGATGTCACACGAAGCCAGTTCGCTTGCAGTCCCGCTGACGGCTCCCTACCATAATAATCTTGCTTCGCTTTCGCCACGCTGCGACCCAACGCCAGTCAACAGTCCACGTTATCACTGTGCGGCTACGTAAACACTTCATTTGTGCATAATTTTTGAGAAAATCAACCAGATTTACCTGCTAAACAACGTTATATTCGAGTTACAATGAGCAAATTAAGATCCGGAGTGAAATAGAGACGGGAAGAGGCAAGACGAACGTTTTATTTTAGAACGGTGGACTAAAGATACGAAACTGTATAATTACTGTGTTACGTTTCCTGTGCGATGTTGGGGGAGAGTTTTGGTTAAAAAGTTGACATTAGACGTTTATTGGGACTTATTGCGAATGTGTATTGAAACGTTCATCGCTATTCACGGGCGCACTGCTATGCGCCACGATTTGGTGCATTTTATAAGACATACCTCTTCCGATCACTACTGCGAAGGAAGAATTTAGTCAACGGTTCAGGTAAGAACATTATATTCGTCTTTATATAATATGCTAATGGGTTAACTTTAGTTATTCTAGAACTTGCTGGGCTAACTAAGCAGTGTGGTTGAATTAACATATCGAATTAAGATATAAGTATAAGACACATAATTAGGTAGCTATATGTACTCATTCACTTATGTTAAAAGAGCGCATATGGCTGCTGGTAAGTCGTCAGAAAATATGAGACCGCTTTTAAATTACCTACACATTTATATGCACAGAAGTTGTTTTTAGAAAACAATTCCATTGAACTGCAGAAAACTCGGCTTACTCATAAATACAAGTGTATGAAACTGGAATCCAATTAAATTATAATTAAGGACAATGGCTGCTTAACGAGTCTGTATGAACAACTTTAACCGCATAGATTACGATGATATAAACAAACAAACGGGCGGTTATAACGCGAGCCACAAACAAAGGCGAATTAATATTCTTAACTCGTCAACCTTGTAAGTTCATGCTCTGCTTCACCTCTGAAGAAACGGTAATGCAGGCAGAAATTTAAAATAAAGGACGCCGAATATACATATAACATATAAGGCTGCTTTCAACGAAAATATTAAAGAACTGTAGCTATATCTGGATTCTAAAATAGTTAAAGAAACCGTCGTGGTAATTATAGTCAAGGATGATACTAGCCAAATTAAAGATTAAGTAACATGAAGTCGAAAAAATGCATTCAGTATTTGTAGTCAATCAATCAAGTTCAGAAAAACATTCATGATTGGTGCTTAAAAACACCAACGAAATAAAAAAATTCATATTTAAAACAATGCACGAAAACGAAAAAAAAATAGATGAAATTTTTACATTTCATTTGACAACATTTATGATTTACCGACTTAGGTATTCTGTAAGGCAGTTGAGTGGAAAAAATAAACTTAGGTATTCATTAAAAGATCAAGGATAAATATGGAAAAAATATTTTGTTATTGCTTAATTATGTTTAATGATATTATAATATCCAATTGGAAACGGTCATTTTGGAATTTTTGCATATCTAATGAATATAATCATCAACTTCAAGGATGATAGATAAAAAAACAACACATATGACGGAATCAAGATTACAAAATACAAAGAAATTTACGCTGGACACATTGAGAAATTCTTTTAGGTATACATCTTAGTCTGATAAAAAAATCCGGTTGCACATGACTTCTATTAAAGGAATGATACAAAAGTCACTCAGCAAGCTTAGAAATTGGAATGTGATAGCTTCAACATGACAACTTATGCAATACATCAACTAATAGATATCTGTAATGCAATCATAAATGCGGCTGTTGCTACGCTTAAATAAGAATTGCTGCCAATTAATGATGTGTTCGACGTAGAAGAAGATGAGAGAAAGAAGCATCCAGAATTATGTGTAAACAAACTTATGTAGCAGATAGTTCATACCATTAACTTCTATACTTATCTAGACATTTTGAAACAGGCCCTGGGACTAATCGTATGATGTGTCTTTCTTCCACATTAATGTCGAAATATGGTTTACACTTCTTTCTATACACGACATGTAAGCACTTACAATCAATCAATTCCCGAGAAAGCTGAAGGAAGCATTACACCACAAAATAGCCAGCATAAGACAGATTTATTAGCCGACAAGATCGAACTAAACTAGGAAGTGTGAACATAATATTAGATCAGGCCATATTTATCTTAACAGGTTCTCAAGAATTATGTGTACATTTACCATAGAGGTAATTACCATATTTATGAGTTCGTTATTGATAAAAGTTTTTACAGCATTAATGGAACGTGTAAAGTCTTTCTAATAAATAATAATCTATTGTGCACGCCGATAGGTGGCGCTTGATGACTTACCAGCAGGTGATTCGTCTGCTATTATTTTGTATTTCGCGATAAAAACCGGTCTGTTTAGTATGCCAAAGTGATATTAATTGTTTTTTTACCAGAAATTCTGTTAAAACCTGTTTGTTTCTTACCAGAGACTTAGAGAGATATTTACCGTATTTTCACCAGAAATTGGATGTTCTGTCGTCGATACATCTGCATCTGGTGCGTGTGAGTAGAAATATTGAAATCGTAGTAATGTTTGTTTATACACAAATACAAGGCAGCAGGATTTGGGGCAGTAGCTATGGACACTGCTATAAAATTGAGCAATGCTCGAAAAATAGAGCTTTGGCATATTTTACTATTTACTATTGAGATGTTTGCTACGAATTTACGCACGAACTCCCCTCCAGATGACCTACTCAGTTTAGAACTAATGAAAAACAAAGTACCTAAGCTAGTTCACCGAAATGCAAAATTAATGTGCCAAACCATACAAATGACATAGATTTTTTAGGGCTTCAACACTTAAATGGAAGAACCTAATTTTTTGAAAGAATAGGTATGTGTATCTGAGGAAAATGGATATTATGGAACTTGGGAATTTGAAACCTCTATGTCCTAAAAGGAGGAAAATAATGACCAATAATTGACTATTACTTAGTTAGGTATTAAAACCTAGTCTACGTGACTTTTGGAGAGGAATAATTAATAAAAAATATAGAACGATGACAACAAACCATAAGTAGGTAGTAGGTATTTAAAATGGAAAACCCAAGTGTAAGTTAAATGACTATTCAAGAATTAGATCAGTACTTTCTGCTGATTAAGCACTTGAAGGTTTACTTATAAATACAAGTGTTACCTTACCAATATTTATATTAATAGGTACCAAGTTATACTACCTACGTGTAGGTAAACAGACAACCATACGACATTCCAACGGCTCATATAACACGTGTAGTATTTCATTTGTCCCATTGAGCAATAATATCCGGTGTTATTTATAAACAATATTCTATTTCCGAAAAGATTTTACTAAAGCTTTCGATACTGTTGACATGTAGAAAATAAAATAGGGACTAAAATTTAGGCTTCTTTATAAGATAGCTGAAATGGTAAGACAGAATTCTTAGGAAAAAGAGAAGCAGCATCTCTTGGATGATATGGAACAAGGAACATTTTTTACAAAAATATACAATAAGTTTGTAGTTAGTGTTTATGGTTGTTGCTTTCTTCTCAAAATTGGTATTAAAAAATTCAAGATTTGCACAAACCCGCTAGCTTACATAAGCAGAGAAAGAAGTCGTTTCGATGATGAGCCGTGCATAAAATATTTAGTTGGGAGTCGTACACGTGGATGGAATAAATAGAGATAACAGTGAAAATAAAGAAATAAATAAGAAAGACAGGCGAATACATAACCAAGTAAAGCAAAGCTTTTGATCCTAAATTCAATAGCACGACAGGGTACACCTATTGATTCAGATATTTCCAGAGCGTGAGTCGATGAATATCCAATGAAACAATGAAACAATGAATTTATTTTTGCAAATAGGCCATAAAACGGCACTTTTACACGTCAATTTATATGTAAAAAACTAGATGAAGCCATATCCAGTTATAGTAAATGTTTATTTTGATGAAGATAGTGTTTTTGTTATATAATTAGACACTTTCCTGATAAATATAATGAGGCGTGTGGAACCAATTAAAATGCGGATACAGGAATGGAAAACATGAGACGGAGAAAGTAGTAAACAAATGTAAAATGATGATAACGATTATGTTGTATGAATAGTGGAAAAATTCATACTTATAATTATAATATCAAATCTAAACGAAAAGGTTTCCGAAGTTTCATCATCACTAACAACGATTGTGCCAACAATTTTGTAAGAACCAGTTCGATTAATGATAATAAGAAATACCTAAAACGAATGTTAAATTAAAATTTGAGAAGGCAAAGTTTTTGTTGTATCTCTTCACTTTAGCATTAGTAAGAAACATCATCAATTACATCATTGCTTTTATCTGTTTGCTTCGAGATTTGTATTTATTTTACAACTTACAGAATTCTCAAGTATAAACTTAAAATGCCACCCAGTATATTAATGAATATTTTTAGGTATTAAACTCTTTATCTATGACAAGCCGCAAATTAAAATTGTACACAAAGAAATCCGCTTGATAAGAAACACTATCAATTGAAACAAGTAGTAAACGAATGAATGAAATCAAAATTGAATGAGTCTCATAAAAATTTTGCTCAATTTTATCAATAATTTTCGGAACTATTGCGTTTAAGGTGATCTCCCTAAAAACCTAGGTTCTAAATATATTTTCTTTTTGTTCTAGATCGCTATTGATGGCGTTACTAAGCATCCAGGGGGACTGGTATTTATACATTTGGTTAATATACTGCAAAATCTATTCAGCTATTATATGGTTGTTCAGCAATCACTGCCGCGGGACTGATAAGGCTCGCTCAGTGATAACGAGTGGAGTTGGCGGACAGTCGCCTGGAGGGCTTCATAGAGTGCGCACGCGTCGACGAAGAGCGCCACAGCAGCACCGCGTCAAACACATCGTTGCTTTAGCAAGGAGACCTTCTCTTAGAAGAATCGTAATGGCACCAGGAGCAAGCACCGCCCACACCATGATGGAGGACAAAGAGAAAATTCTTAACGGAGCTTTGGCAACTGGTGAGTTCATTGTTTTCTTAACCATTTTTGTTTAATACGTGTACAACATCTTTGTAAAGTGTTCTTTTGTTTTTTACTGACGATCATTCTACAGGTAATGGTTATATTTAACAAGAAACATAGCGAGCGGTCAACTTAGACATTGTATAGTCACGACTTTGTTATTCTGTAGTCAGGGACAGGCCTCCAGCCGGCAAGCGAGAGTTTCTATGTATTTTCTATTCGTGTAAAAAAAAACATTGGCATACATTTTAGTAACTGTCTCGAAATTATCACCTTGGTACAGGTACATTCGGCCAATAATTTGCTTCATCGAATCGATAATATTTTCCACCCATAACATTGCTTATTCGTCGTTACCGTGATCAATTTTAATTGTGCTTTCATACTCGGTGTCGGTTGCACCATGCAAATGCATTTTATCATAATAATAACAAGCAGAATTACTGTAAAGATATGAAAGTAAAAAAATAGAAGTTGAATTTATCTTTACGCTGCAAATGAATGGAACAGTGTGGCCGACAGATTGCTTCCTACTTAGTTGTCATCGGTGAGGTCAGTAACAAGAATTGTAACAAAAAAACCGTTACAATAATATTATAAACATTGGTTTTGTTGTTACAAAAACTTATTGAAATGTCTAACTTTTTAAAAAAAAAACCGCACTTCCTACTAATATAAGCAGCCTTCAATTTACCCATATTATTTTTCCGCCTTCCTTTCGCAGATTTACGATCTACTTAAGTGCATTTTCACGAATTCATAAAATTAAATTAGTTCTACTTTGATTTCTTCAAGCGTGAAATTAATATGAGCCTTGCATTTAGCTTTGATTCATTCTCGTGAATACTAATATTGTACCGTATGGTAATATTATGGTATCATTTGGATAATCTGATTCCTGTTATTATGATAAGAAAACTTATTATGTAACAAACATAACAAATATCATGTTTACGTTGCCAACTAGAGACAACAAAGCTAATTAATAATTCAGTAACAACAAGCCAACAAAGGTACGAAAACAAAAGTTCAAAAGCAATGTTTTGAATATGGAATTCATAGTAAACTTCGTCATCAAACGTATTGTTGTGTTCTAATGTGCCAGGACTTTCATAATTTTCTTTATAATGTGCCAGGACTTTATTCAAACCGTTTTTTCATTTGGCATCAAAACTCTTTAGTCCGCCTTGCTCGTTTTCTGAGTTTCCCTTGATGACATCATGGCAATTGCCCGAAGAACTGTTGCAGATTTTGATGGCAGACTGCCAGTAACATACGGTCTGGCCTGACAAAGTTTTCGGAGAAACGATTGGATGGCTATATATATATATTTATCCACGTTTAATCTGCGTGATGGGCTTCAGCTAGTTATTAGATTTTTGCCATAAACACTATCTGTGTGATATGCTGTAAAGGGCATTGGCAATTGATAGTTCCATCACACCACTCTAAGGATCAACGATAGCCATAGGCACTCAGCATTTCATTGTAGTTAACATGAAGTTAGTAGAATTTATTATTACTGAGCTAGATTCATATCTTCATTATAGTCGAATATCAAATCATCCTCACATGCATGATACAATAGGTTGTGAATTAGTTCAATAAATTCGATTTTCACGACTTGACTTCTATGAATGTGTTAACCACATTCCTTTCAGAAATCCCTCTGTTTGAAATCGACATGATTCATACTTTTTACTGTGTCGTCTACCTAATGATCTTACTATTCTAGATAGTTAGTTTCAAGGCAGAATGACCCCGTTGGCTCAAACACAAATCCATCAGCCAAATCTCTAATGACTGATTTAAAAAAACTCGTGTAAAAAACTCGATCTCTGTCACACTGACGAAAAAAGAGGTATGCTGACATGCTTCTTTTTTTTTCTTAGTGCGCTGTAATTTTATTTTACGAATGTAATGATGTCAGTTATAAAAAGTTCCCAGTTAAAGCGCTTTGTTCGTACTGTGTACAACATTTCTAGAAGTGCCCAACTATAAAAGTTGCGTCTCAACTTTGGCTTATACTTACTAAAATATCTTTCCTATACATGCCTATAATAAACAGCTGTATTAAGTATAATCCAACTTAATCGGTTGAAGAATCTCATTTCACGCTTTGCATATTACATTTGGTCATAGTCCGTCCCATTTTACATGGCTGATGCAAACTTGATTGTGTTATCTAGCAGAAATGAAACGTCACCATGGCGTGAAGCTCAATTTTACAAATTAAGCTGATCCAAGGAATTCCCTATTATTAACCTAATACTATGACTCAAATCATAATATCTAGACTGACACGTGTAAGTCCAATGATAGGAGTCCACATGTTACCTAAAGATCAAAATCCACTCTGTGATGATCATATCGACGCTGAATGACGAGAAACAAAACGATATTACATGTCATGGGTCTCCGACCTCGTTAAAACTATCAAATAAATACCTATACCAGATTGAAAACCTTGACAATTTTTAAAAATAGTGGAATTAGTATAACGTGTTCTTTTTTTAAATAAAAGCGTTAGGTACGTATACCACAAATTATTTTACAACGTTTCTTCTTCACCAATGACATTTGACCACAATTTTAAAAACATTGGCGTTCGGACGCGTCATTAAAAAAAAAACAGCTAATCGCGCCATGTGACGTCAGCGCCACGCCTCCGATTAGACCAGTTCGCTTGGAAACAAATATTATTTTAATGCATGAACGAATATAGAATCGGATATGGAAAATAAAATATGTTATATTATTTATATAAGTAGAATGTTATTATGCCTAAGTATAAATAATGATTTCCGTAAGACCTTATCAATGACGGCAATTATGCTTACGCAAACAACCTAAAACAAAATAAAACAATGTTTAAGTACGCACATAATTCAGCAAGTTAGGTACCTAATACGAAAGTTATATTATTTGATGACAACGATTTAAAAAAAACTTACACGATAAACAATGCATTTTACTTAGAATAAGAAATTAACCTTACCTAAATACTATCGATTACAAAATAATTATTTTGATAAAGTGTAATATTAGATGCATGAGACAATATTATAATAACATAACGTGTTTTTCATTGTTATCAGAGCTCTGCTAATTTATCAGTGGGTGTGTTGCTATGTTCATTATCAAATGTGAACTCTTTGGTAACTGTTTACGAGCCTTTGGTACCTAGTTAGTACAAAGAAACTTGAACCCAATTGTACTTAAGCACAACTTGTAGTAACGATAAAATTGTTTTTCGAACAGTTCATCATGTAGCTGGTTGGGCATTTCACTTAATAAAAAAATAAGTATTTTATTGTAATAAATGATTCATTAAAAGAAAAGAATTTGTTTTGTTGTAAAAACCTGTTATTAATAAAAAAAACTTTATGCACACCAACTATCCTTCCGCACAATTTTTTGCAACATCAGCACTATTACGCTATAAGTATTTATCCTTGACTAGTCATGGTTGTTAACAATACAGCACGTCAGTCAATCTATCTTATTTCATAACGTAATCGTGTTACTGATTGGACACAATCAAACATTTTGGTTGCTATGTTTTTTTTATTAAATAGATTTGCCAAAGGCCAAAGGTACCTAATTGCCTAATATTGCCGTCCATAGTGGCGCTGCTGACGATTTTGGACATATTCTGCGTTAATGTTTTTTTAAGACCACATAATATAATAGACGCTAAATTTAGTCCTTAACATAGAATACACTCTAGCATTCAACTCTTAATTTTTCACTAAGATTTTGAAAGTCGTCTAGGTAAATAAAAATGCCATTTTTATTTTTTTCCATTTGGCCCAAGTAAAATAAGTAATAATATTTTTATAAACTCAATATCAGTGTGTTTGCTCAATATGTATTAATCTTTTGAGGGCACGTTGGTTAATCACATCTATAAGCATTTTTACTGGGTAGCATTGACAGATTATAGGTACCTACACTTGTGTTACGAAACCGACTAATCTACTCAATGGCAGGCGTGGACTGTGGATACTTATTTCAGCGTAGCAACACCTACACAGATACGAAATAAGTAGGTAGGTACTATAGACGACTTTATTATTTCTGAAGTGAGAAAACAATTTATTTTTGTTACGATTATACTAACAACTAACAATGTTCTTATTATTTATTATGTTTTCGGCTTACTCACGTAATAATTTGACGAGATACTCGACTAGTTTCAAGCCATGCTAGAGGCTAATATAAAATGTTCTTATTGAAATATTTTACTATAGGTAGGTCTTTTATATAAATGTAGGTGAACCGAGAGGCAAACATCAAACATGTGTAAGTGTTTATTGACATTACATTTTAATAAAACACCTTTCGTTTTACGATAGGTATAATTTATTTCTTACATATAAAATAACATGGTGTAAAAAAATAAACTTTTTCTTTAAGCCCTAAAGGTACTTTATTGTTTGATAACTTGGTCCGTACATAAGGACCACTTTTTAATTAAACACCAGTTGTTTTCCATTCGCTCGGCTTGGACATAAAGATAATAAAATAAATAATGTGTAAGTTGCTCACTGCAGACTGTAGGGCTATCGTTATTATTAGCATAACATCTTGGTTTGTTTTTCGCAATGTGACAAGCGGAGAAATTACGAACTTTAACTGCAACTCACTGTAGGTACCTACTCAGCTCAGTTCACCGATTCAAAATTTTAATAAAATTAATGAATGAGAAATCAATTAGCAAAAAGATGTCGCCATTGTCATAACATAATTTTATTGCAAGTACTTCTAATAACACTTTATAAGTAGAAAATAACTCATAATTTCATCAGAAGAAATGTTAATTACACATTTAATTACTCACTGTAAGATCATGAGGTTTGTTTTTGTGGATAAAGTTGTTGTTTCAAATCTAATCTTGTACGTGTAAGAGGGGGTCAATCTTAAGAAACGTCATTTGACCCGATGACTGCAAATCAATAAGTAGATAGGTATATGTTTTATAAAGAATCACGCAC